TGGATAATGTCACCTAGTGAGTATCAATGTATTTAATAATGATTTAAACAAACAAGGTCCGTCATCCATCTAATTGCCTGAAAAGTAGAATGAAACCTTTGAAACGTTTCACGTCTATTTTATTTTATTTCTATTCATCTTAATATATGAAGTCTGCTTATGCTCGTATTTATAATTATTACCGTCATTAATATCATTATTGGTCCCCCGACACATTAGATATTCTTTTTATCTTTTCTTATCCTTCCTAACATATTTAATTATTGATTGTCCTTTGAAATACATTGTGACTTTCATAGCATCATTCTTAATTATTATTGCACTTATGTTTATTCTAATATCCGGTTTCACGCTGTATACTATCACATAAATCTACATGTATTTATTCGAGTGCACTAAAGGATTTTTATTTTATTTTTTTCAATTGCTGGTTTACTTTTGAGGTCGATATTCATTACACAATTATTATTCTTATCATGGATGAACCTTTTTACTAGGTATCCACTTCGTTTCTCTCGCTTTTTCCCTTCTAAATGAATATTATTCGTAAGATTAAGAAGTTTGTAATTAAGACAATAACTTGTGTTACATCAAAGATGAACTTTTCAGACTCGTTTTATCTTCACTATGCATATATGACTCATAAATATTGATATTTTATTATCCTTTTCACTCAATTGAGAATTTTACAGCATCATTTCAAACTATAACTGCACAAACACTTATTCTAGTGTCATATCTTACTGCAATTGTAAGTTATTTTTTCTAAATTATTTTTTATTACTAATTTAACGTTACATACATGGTCGTTTATTCATGTTCTGTGTTCATAAACACGCCTATTAAACTATTTGCGTATTTCACGTCTCCTTTATTTCTATTTCCTTATTTTCCCTCTTTCCTTCTTTAAACTCAATTCAATATTCTTCTTATGGTGGAGTTTTGTTCTCTGAGCTGTTCTCTGAGCTCAGAGAACAAAACTACACCAAAATAATCCACCTGAGCTACAAATCTTCTCCACCATCTCAATATTCTTCTCAATTACACAGACCCGATTTATTATTATTAATATTCTACTATTATTACTCTTTTATTAATATGGCTGGTATAATGCTAACATTATTGAAAATTGTGTGTTATTTCATTTTTTGAAGATAAAAGAGCGATATTCAAGGTAGGGTCGTATACATCTTTTGTAAATGGAAAGTTTAGCCTATGTTGTGAAGAAATCCCTCATTATGAAACCAATTAGCCGTCCTTGTTTAGAAATAATAAAGAAGACATGTTCTTCAAAATTTGAGTTTCCCTTGTAAGTAATACCTAGATTGTGCACTAATCAGAATGTTTGAACCTTAATTTTTTGCTCCAGGTAGTTAGGATACACTTTTGCTTGGAGCTTCAGGCTTAAAGCCGTATACTATTTTTAGATCATCAGCGTATAAGTGTGTTTCCTCAGATAATATGATGCTACATACATCGTATATATACATAAGAAACAAAAGTGAACTTATTACACTTCCTGGATGACTCTGTATTGGCATTGGACCATAACCACACAATCCTCAAAGCTGAACACGAGACTACTCAGAAAATAGATATTCAATATTTAACGCGGAGAAATACCTAACGATGGAGAAGACGGGAACAAGGAGTTGAATGAGGCTTGATCGAATGGCATAGCTCGGTCACGCAGGCGTGGTCCTTGTTGAATTTTATCTTATATCTTTTGTTCATATTAAATATATTGTTTTATCTCTTGCTTAAGCTTGTTCTACATCATGTATTAGTACAATACGATGAGTTGGTGTAGACGATGATGTAAATTCCACGTAAGATCTTATAGATTAGGCAGTATTATCATGACAAATCTACGATTTTAGGATTAGGTCTATTATTAGAGCAGTGCTAATATCATAGCAGACCATAATTCTACAAGTTCAGGCATATTGCATAATAGAGAGTATACTAGAGAGTGAGTGTAAATAAGGCATCCTGCACCTCATCCTATCAATCTACCACTTCTATATAGGAAATAGTTATCAAGGGATATACTTAGGTCGGAAATATTACTGTTAGTCCATGTTTTAGATATCATTATAAGCTATGGTTGATATATGGTTACAAACAGGGCTAAATCAGTCTTCTTATTGCAGATCGACCTAGTGTTGATAAGACACATATTAAACAAATAACCTACTAAGTTAAAGTGGATGAGAGTATCTCGAATGAGGTTGTCATAACCGTCGCGGGTGTGATATGGGTTTAAAGTGAGGAATTGGATGTTCTTCAATAGCTCGGTATTTCGATAGCTAGACTTAGTGGGAGATGTATCAAATGAGCTAGTGAAGTTGATTGGGGAGTTTATCCAGGAGGAAAGGGTGAGAGCATTCTCTGGTGGAAACTGTACGGGGGAAGCAAGCTTATGTTCTACATGTGGTTTGAAATGACTTAAGCTATATGCCTCAACAGAGGTGTCACTAGGGGTCGTATTCCAAAAACAGAGTGAAATGTAGGATAGTTGTTTACCAAAGTAGGCAGAAATGTATAGGAATGTATGAGTTATAGGGGCAGTATTCCAAAACATCTGGTGCATGCCGGCTGTAAAATGTACTGTCATTTACAAAATAGTCTTGTTGGTTAGGCTGGCAGCCTCTGTTATAGTTATTTATGTTCGTGTGAACGTGAGAAGTATCTTCTTCACATAACCGGAATTAGCTACGACTGTTATCATGCAAGGGAGCCGTTATTATGTTGTGGGTTGGTACTAAAGAGTATGAAAAGTTCTCTTTCTGAGAGTAATTACAATTGTGACCCTGAGGAATGTAGATATAGTGTGGGACGATTGACCTGTTATTACCATGTTTATTAATGGTTTTCGACTTTATATGGTGAGTAGAATGATCGGTAATCTGATAGTTTTTGCTAGTGTGCATGTGAAAGTTGTTGTTACACTCAGACCTACCTGCGGTTTTGACACTTAGAGGTGGGAGAACCTGTTCAGTGTTGTTGCGATGCACATAGAACAGTTGGGTTCAATCTGACGTGTTTAACTATTCGGTATGGTGGATTTGCTTACCCACGTTTTTCGTCAGAGCCGGAGAAGTTCTTTGTCTTTGTGAGATGAATTCAAGTTTAGTCCAGTCATCTTGTGGAGTAGCTGTAGGAGGTCTAGTTTTCAAGTGAATAGGTTTACTTAGATTTGTGTCGTTACATGGCTCACTTTTGAGTACTTTACTGCGCGAACAACCGGGATTAAGAATATCGTTATGCTTTTTGGTGACAGTTGGTTTCTTTATCTCATGAAGAGGTTTCTGATCTTCAGACTCATCTAGAACTACAGAGTGATCTGCCATTTGTGTCATTTTTCTTAATTTCTTCCAGACAGCTTTGTAAACACTTCTGTTCCTTGAGATGGTCAGTAAATTATTATTACCGACTAAAATCAATGGAAATTTGTTGAGTTTCAAGCAATTGTTTGATGACACATATTTTTCTTACTCATTGTATCGGCCAACTGATGTGCTATGAAAAATTTCTTTTGTAGAGAAACTTCCAGGAAAGAGTATTCGGTGTTAGTGAATATCAGAATAGTTTTTTTAGTGTCTCTTCCCGTTGACAATTAACAAAAAGCATTTTACAACTTCAGGTAGAAAAGTAACGTCGCCTCCGTCAGAAGGGATAATAAATAATAAGCTCGTTCGATGAAACTCGTGAACTTAATTGCAGTACCAAGCCGTAAATAAATGGACAGAGATTATGATTATGCAGAGTTTTAAAAGGTTCTATAACTAGGCAGAAATCTACCAGAGCAGCACGTTTAAATGGTTGCAAAGCAATTATTTTTACAATTCAACGACATAGAAACTTATCTTTCCTATCACGTAAGAGGTGAGTAAATTAAATTCTGTAGACTGTTCAGCGATTATTTATGGCCTTACATGTACTAAGATTTTCATCGCTCGAAACGAAGAAATTGCAACATGCCAAAGACTTTAGAGGTCAAGAAACGATTATTTTTTAGTCGGTCACCAACTGACCTATTGAATTATCAACAAACCATAATCCTGATATACGGCCACAACTTTGGTCATCGCTTTCAAAAGAAATTTGGACTAATCACTTGGTATAAATTCTAAGTAATAAAACAGGAAATTCAGACTTTCGTTGCTTCTAGGCTGAAAGTAAGATCAGGGGTTGTACGCTGTTTTATATTGGTTCATTGAAAACATATTGGTTTTATATTTTGGGTTATAATTTTTTACCTTCACCCGTCAAGGACGTAAACGAAGCAATAATTCAAATCCTCTCGTCATCTAGGCGTTACTTATATTCAACATTGACTAGTAATAATTCTCTGAACTAAGATAGTATATATTTTGTATATATATTGTATATATTTTGCAATAATAGATGGCAAGTATTTTAATGTCTGGATTCGTGTTCTTAAGCTGTTTGTGAACATCTGCAAATACGTAAGACTTCTCACCAGATTCTGTTTGTTAAATTGACTAGCACTTTCACCTAACAGTTATTGATTATCCAGAAACGTTTAATAGCAGAAAATTTTCGAAGTCTTCACTTAAAAACTAAGTTATGTTCTGCTGTGCACAGAATTTTGTAGTAATAATAACTTTAATATTCCTATTTGGAAAGAAAATTTTGTCCGTTTTGAGGAAGCTATTGTGAAGCCGTAGTAGTAAACTTTAAGGAAATTTGAGAAAAAATTCTAAGCTTCCTCAGGTCTGGGGGAAATTCCCAAGATATTTGGGGAAATTTAGTTTTTCTCCAATATTTTCCGGTATCTTATAACATGGGTTTTTTCCCCAAAATTTACACAAACTTAGGGGAAGACTACCAAATTTCTTACACCTTTGGGGAAAACCCCAAAGTAAGGAGACGAACAATTAACATGAATTCACTTTCTAAACCTCTCTACTTTGTTTTCGTTAGCTAAATCTTCGATTGTAACAGTTCTTATTAATGTTCAAAAGACTATCAACATGGAGAACAGACCACAATGCAGTATATCACTTAATTTAGTTGATAACAAAGAACTACGGTCGCGTATCAGGAATTCAATGTAAGTTTTGTTTATTTAAATATATTCGGTTGGACTAATTTTTTTGGACGATTTTTGCGCAATACTAAAATGTCCTTAAAGAGGTTCACTTATTAACTGCATCACAGTGAGATTTATGAACCTGTGGGAAGAATAACGATTATAATTTACAGTTGATGGTTAAGGCTAGGCATCAGAATAGTGTTTTCATCCTGAACGAACTTAAGCTAAAATGCGAAAAATCTATTTAGCCAAACGAATGAATAAATTTTGCTTCAAAATCCAGGACCTGTTATCCTAAATTTGATTGTCTCGTCTATAAACTTTGGTTTCGCCGAAATACTCCTTTTTTGACATTTATATTGTCCTCACTCATCAAATACATGGGGTGTAGTCAAGTTGATAGTAAAACTGACTATTCAATTTTCTCATACCGATCAGGGCCGTAAGTCAAACTAGTCGTGAACAACGTATTCCATTTGGGTTTTTCATTATTGTTTAAAAATACCATGGCAAACTCGAACAGTTCTGAAAATTGTTACGAGTTTACTATAAATGTGCCCCGAATGCTCTGGTACGGCCGAGAATGGGGAGAGTCTGCTCTCCTCGAAATGCTCTCACATGGCCACGCGTATATAGCCTCTGCCAGGGAAGTCCTACTCACTACCTTCTCGCACCACGAGTGTTGTTTACAAAGTTGAGAGGACGAAAAGCGAATGTCCGGCGCTTTATCCGGGTTAGTGGACACGGAGAGTCCACCTAGGGGAGTTGTAAAACCCTAATTCCAAACCGATGGTGCACATGGGTTTGCTCCAGGATCCTGAAGGAACAAATGGCGTATAAACCTATCGTTGGTCACCGGCTACCATAGGACTACATCTCCTTACGATGCTCCACTGTTTTGTGGATCAGACCTTTAGGTCGAAGGCTCTGGGTGTAGCGTCCTACGAAAACCACCTGTTTCGATTTGGGCACCCGGGCAGTATCACAGCCCTCACACATGTCGAATGGGATCTGTGTGGCGCATATGTATTTGGTGCCTCCTTGTACCAATATCTGTGTTAAAATAATAAATAAAATAATAATAAATTACTGTAAATGTATTCAAGGAGGGACTCATACTTTCCAAATTGTACCACCTTTTCGTATTCTCCTAGTTTTTTGATTTAAATAACCGGGTTCCTTTTTTTATCACATTATTTGTCTACGAATGGTAATGACTTAGTTCATCCATGTCGCCAACCTCAGGGATTCCAATACCAATTAAGTAACTTGTAGGAAAGTGTTCTTTTCATATTCTTGTATTTTCGCTGTGGATTGGTCCTAAAATACTCCTGGGAAAGTACATGAAATGCCTCTAAAATAGTTATAACACTTTTCTGTACCATAACATCTAACCACTAATTTCATTCCTGTTCAATGACTGCATACCAGGAGATAATATTTAGCGAGCTTTACCATACCTTATATTTCCTCAACGCTTTCCGAATTTGTCATTCAGTTTTTACATAACAGGCTGGTAAATAGGAAAGTTTTCATTTATTTCTATGTAATGAAAATAAAGGTTATTTTGTTTTTATTTTCATACTTCTCAATCACCTTGTTGGCTAAAACATTTTGTTAAATTGGCCGTAATGAACATCATTGAATATGTTTTCAAGACAAGCACGTATAAATATATTCAGTCCACTTTTATTTCCTTATCGGTCATATTTTATAACCGTCAGATGATAGCGAGCTCTTCAACTACTCATCAAGTGCCCAACAAGCTTTTTACGGTATGGAAAATTTTAAGCTTAGTTAGATCGTTTTGGTAGAGATTAGTTTTATGATCTTTGACCTATCATTGTATGTTTATTCTGGTTCCCCACTTTTGATTTGATTGTTTTGACATCGGTGCCAGAATCTCCATGGCAACTGGATAAGTAGTGTCATATGTTGATAGTGCCTGTGTTTTGGCAGATTTTTAGTGTTGGTTTGTCCATCTCATTTGCATTCTCGTTTCTTCAGTAGGACGTTAAAAGTGTACGGTTTAAAGGTAGATAAATTTTTACAATAAATGTAACTGTCCCATTTCGTTAAAACAATGTGAGGTTTTGTCGTAGCTAAACTTAATACTTCTGGAAATTGAGCTATTTCAGATTATTTTTTAGCATTTCGTCTATTTTGGATTATCTGGTTTTATTTGCCATATATTTAAAATTTCACTCAGTTGAGTTTTCTAAATCAGCCCACAAATTAGTGTCTGTACAACTTTGCAAGAAAAGTGTTACTTTATCACAAGGTTAATCGTTTAACTTCAGTAATTTTTAGCATGCGAATTCGGTGATTTATTTTTGTATATATGATTTTGCTTCTAACTCCATATCCGATACTTGTTACTGTAAGACTGTGGTCTATTGTTTTGACCATCACCTCACAGTTTTTATTTTTACCTGAACTAAATCAGTTCAATAGTTGTATTCCTGTCTTGGAGATGGTTAGAAGAAAGTAAGGGCGGCCAAACCAAAACGTGGCATCAGTGCTTGAAGTCACTAACTTCTAGTCTTCGCCATGTTGGTAGATGCAAACTACTTGGTTGGGGTCCGCGTGACCTTCGTAACCAATGGTTGGAGACTTGGTGACATGGCTCAGAATCGATCACAATGGCGTCGGTGTATACACTCCCTGTCTTCCCTTAAACTATGAGATTAAAATCACTTCAAATCTTTCTTTCTACTAACTAATTCATTCTTCCTATACTATATCCTTATTGCAATCTTTCTCCTATATATTACCACCTTTGACCTAACCACTCCTCTGAATCCGGTGTTCATCTTGCTGTGCTAATGAGGTATGGCAACCTGGACCGATGCACATATGTGCCTGGTCCTACGTTGTAGCTGACTGACTTCCTAAGTCTTTCATAATAAATAACTGTATCAGTTTATATCAAGTTTTCATGTTTTTGTTTACCTAAAAATGTGTATCTTGTTAATCGTCAATTCTTTTTATCTTTAGGGGTATCGGTTATTGGAATGCTTATACTAAAAGTGAAAAGTATTTATCTGAAAAACCAACAAATGTGGAAATTGATTCTGCCGAATTAGCAAAGCATAATAAGTCTGATGATATGTGGATAGCTTTAGATCATCAAGGAAAAAGTAAGCCTAGTTCTTGTTATTTTTGAAAGTCTTTGAAGACTTCATAGTAATTCATATCTTTTAATTATTTTATGAAGGTCCTATTATGCACAACTGATCGTTTTCATGGCTTGAAATAATCATGTATAGTACATATACTAGGAATTATTTTAAAAATACCGCAGATTATCTGGATAACATTTAAATATAAACACACCATTCTTAGTCCACTCATCATTATACATTTTTATGTTTGATTTTTCTACCATATGCGGTACCATAGTTGTTTCTATTCCTTTACTTTTCATCATGTCAGTTCCTCTCTATATTGATGCGAATTAAGAATATAGGCAGACAAACATGTGTGCTAGGTTCTAAGCTTCTTTTATGACCGACGAAACCCAAATGTAGCAAATAAATCGTTTTTTAATATACGCCATAAATCATGTTATAAAAGAGAATCCTATTAATGACTTTTAGAAGTGGGATAACTTGTGCTTATGATACAGTTCTCGACATAAAGTCTACCAATAGTTATTTGATTAACACTATCAACCATAAGGTCGCATCTTTTAATGCCACAACATCTACTGTTTGGGCAAATGGATAATATCACTAATACACACAGTTTTGATTAAAGCCTTTGGTTAGTAACCGAGATAAGCTAACACCTGCCTACATTCTCTTGAAATTTTTAAAAAGTTATCTTCATTTCAGTTCAAAAACTTTGCTGGATTTAGCTAGTTTGTTACTGTAACCGAATTGTATATCGTTTTTACCTATTTTTTTCTTTTATTAGCTGTAGTATATGATATCACAAAATTTGCGGCGTATCATCCTGGAGGTGTTGATATACTGTTGGAATATGCTGGAACTGATGCTTCAGAAGCATTTCGAATGGTAGGTCTATTACTTTGTTCGATATTAACATAAATTAGGCAATCAAATTAGATTGACAGTACTATAACACCGGAACGTTATGTACCTTGCAACTAATTTCTATCAATGACTAAGTTATTCGATGGAGCTAGTATTTTATGTAAAGGTTTAGTGAATATTAGTTCTCAGATCATATTCATCCCAGATGACTGTAGTTCTGAATACTATTAAGAACCAGCTAACATGGAACACCTGTTTTATCTCAGTATGGAATACTAACAACTCGTTCAGGGATCAATATCAAAATCTTTGAAGATCAGGACAAGCTTGTTAACTTCCACTCAAAACACGATTGATGGTTGAATGATAGGTATTTTAGCCCTGTCTCTTTTATTTACAAAAAAAAGAACAATATATGTAATCGTGAGCAGTAATAAACTAAAGGGAAACGAAACAATGGGACTATAACAAAACATAATCAATTTGTTTAGCATAATCGTTGTTTAAAAACGTTTTAATCTATTTCTAATGAGACTTTCTGATGTTATACTACGATTGAGGTTTATTAATAGGGTCGTTAATTCTGCTGCTCACAATAATAATACTAACAATAAGAATAGTAAATCTTTTGCTTCATTCTAATGTATATGTTAAGGTAAACGCACTAAATATCGGTTCACTAATGGATATTATTATCGATCAAGCTACTTTTATTTGAACACATAAATATTAGTACAAGAGGGCACCAAATATATATATATGCACCATTAAGATTATATGAAAGTGCTTCTATGTGATTTTCTACATCCTCAAAATATCAGATATCATGATATCATGTATCCATAATATTCTAGTTTGTTTTTTAATTATCATTCTGTGGGGAGGGTTGGAAAATGTACCTAATAATATGGTATCGTTGGGCATAAATCACCCAGTTATTGAACATCATCTTTAACTTGGTATTGAAAGGTTTCTTAATTGATTCAATGGCAAAATTTGACAGATGTAGGGGGGAACACTTCGAATATTATATCATCATGATTGTTGAAATGTTTTCTTTTCATGCGTTTGATTGGATAGTGGCTTGGTGGTTAAAAAAGGCATTTTTTCAATTAGTAAATCACGGATTCGGATCCAATTCTCCATCTACTTCGTTTTTGATGCATTCAGGTAGTACTACAACATCTTACACAAAGTGTTTAACTCAAAACCGGTTACATAAAGCTGTTCTTGATAAATGAGTTCAATTCCTTACTAATGAACGCTACTTGTTTCCACCTTTCTATTATTGGTTATATTTAGGTTCAGTGATTTTTCAACTAGACTGTTTCAATGTTTTTACGTAGACGAATCATTGTTTTGACTGGAATCTGTGCATGAACATTAAAACGGTAGCATTGAAATTAGTTGTTGCTCAGAAGTATGTCGTTAGTCAGATGACTGAAAGCATTTCAATTTGATCATCATATCTTGATTTTGAATAGATATCAATTAGCTGAAATATAAAGAATGTATATAATGTTGGAATGATGAAACACAAGACAAATTTGTAATGATCAATATTCACAGTTGTGTATCAAACGTTAGCATACTTATGAACGTGGTGTAAATTACCATCAATCTTTGTTTCTGATAGCTTGCTAAATTGCTTCATTCTAGTCACCAGTCTTTTTTATTTGAACTGAATTGAATCTGTTTTGCAAAGTAGGTAGTTAGGTACTTAATAAACTACAACCGTTCTATTTGTTGCTTAAGGTCATCTATCTTGTTTAGTAATCTTTTTATTTTGTTTACAACCATATTTATTATATTTTGAACATTTGTCTTACTATTCAATCGTTCCAAAAATATTCTCCACAACATTCCTTAGGTTTATTTGAAAGGAGGACATCTGTTTCGTTTTAGTATGGGCTAACTCATTAGTATGTACCCACAACCCAATCAGAGATTGAAACCAGGATCTTGAAGTGTAGCGGTGAGCACTTGACTATTAGAACTATAGGGTTGGCATCCACCGGTACAATTTTGACTTCAATCGACTTCCAATACAGTTTGATATACTTCAAATTCTTAAAGTTTTACTGAGAAGTTGTAACTGATGGAGTCCAGGCGTGTCGGAAGTGAAAGAGTTATTACTAATGGAATTAGGTGTCGTCGCGCTACGCCGACGTTATAATTCAACACCGACCTTGTGATTTTAGTAGTTTAGATCTTTCCGCCAAACCTGGTCCTGAACCCAGGTGGGGTTGTTGGTGAGCACTAATAAGAAGTCCCATACCAGGACGAGGCAGATGGATGATATCACCTTTGGTCCTTAATGAGATCAATCTTTGGCAAATAGTACCTGCAAATTTCTTAGGTTTGTTTATTTTACTCACTGTTAACTGTGAACTATATCGTCGAACCAGTTGTCAGCATAATATTGTATAATAAGCAAACGAAGTGATAATGCAGTGATCGTAGGATTCAGCTTACATTCCTTAAATTTCATGTTTGAACCTCACTCTACTTAAGTTATGAAACATTGAAAAAATGTGATACAAAGTGGATTATGTAGAATAAGTATTTATTTATTTGAACACATAAATATTGGTACAAGAGGGCACTAAATATGCATGCACAACACAAAACAATGAGAATTCGAAGAAAAAACAACGAAGAGATTAGTATGAGGTAGTGTAATAATAATAATAGCAATAATGAGGGAAACGGAAAGGTACAATCAGAAGAAACCTTTCAGTCAAGAAAGAAACAACCATTTTTTTTATGAAGAAAGTAAAAGAAGATTACAGCAGGATCGCCACTGGATTCTATTCTGAACGATATCTGATAACGTCTCTAGCCACTGTGTAGCACCATCTCTCGGACCCCAACCAGGGAGTCGTGACGGACCGACAGAAGCCAGCCCTTTACAGCTTTCTTTCATACCCCGACACCATGTCATACACTGACAGAATAAGTACTTTGAATTAAACGGACTACACACAGTGATTCTGTTCAATACAAAAGAAAAATTTCATCGATATAGATAATAAATAATTTAAAAGTTGACAAACAGATTTTACTAGAATGTTGATGATAATAACTCGTTTTCTGAAGTATATTGTTTTCTTTTATTTTCAAGGCACATTCATATGTTAGCACAAATATGATATCTAGATTACAGAAAGGTTATTTAAAACAAAGTGCACCTGGTCGAGGTGGTATGCCTAATCGTAAGTTCTCATCTATCATTTAATCGTTGATATCTTTATTTGCATTGTTTATTGGGTCTTATAGTTTAAACCACATACTGACCTCTGTTAGTGAATACCAGGAAACATTAAACGGTTGTTTCGTCCTAGTATGGAACTCATCCAGAGTACACATCCAAATGCCCTGGTACGGCCGAGAGTGGGGAGAGTCCGCTCTCCCTCTCGAAATACTCTTACACGGCCACGCGTATATAGCCTCTGCCAGGGAAGTCCTACTGACTGCCTTCTCGTGGCGGGGGTGTTGTTTACGAAAATGAGAGGACGAAAAGCGAACGTCCGGCGCTTTAACTGGATTCCAAACCAATGGTGCACATGGGCTCCAGTATCCTGCGGGAACAAATGGCGAATGAACCAATTGTTGGTCACCGGCTTCCATGGGACTGCATCTCCTTACGATGCTCCACTGTTTTGTGGATCAGACCTTCAAGTTGAAGGCTCGGGGTGTGACCCCCTAAGAAAACCACCTGCTTCGGTTTGGGCACCCGGGCAGTATCACAGCCCTCACACATATCGAATGAGGTTTGTGTGGCGCATATGTATTTGGTGCCTCTTTGTACCATTATCTATGTGTTGAAATAAAATAATAACACATCCACGACTACACCAGAACCGAACCCAAGAATTTCAGGTATTACAACGAGGGCTTAACCTTTACACCACTGAGCTGGCATCTAGTGGTCTACGTATGTAAATTAAGTCACTTCTCGATATTATGTAACCATTTTCCAATGTCATTGGTTGGTAATGGCATCATGCTCAACATGGTTGGACTCTACATGTTGTGGCTTCTCACTAGATTTCCAGAAGCTATCTCTTGAAATGATTGACCTGTGAGCATATGATTACTATTAGCATATTTATTTATTTAAACACATAAAAATTGGTACAAGGAGGCAACAAATATATATGCGCCACATAAACCGTTCAATTTGTGTGAGGGCTGGGATACTACCCGGGTACCCAAACCGATGTGGCTGGTTTTCTCAGGAGGCCACTCCCGGAGCCGTTGACCTAAAGGTCTGATCCACAAGGTAGTGGAGCAACGTCAGGAAATGCGTTTCCATGGAAGCCGATGACCAACAATAGGTTCATACGCCACTTGTTTCTTCAGGATCCTGGTGCTCAAGTTCACCACTGGTTTGGAATCAGGATTTTCCAACTCACCTATGTGGGTCCTCTGTATCCACCAACCCGGTTAAAGCGCCGGACATTTGATTTTCGTCCTCAACTTCGTACACAACATCCCCGTCGCAAGTAGGCAGTGAGTAGGACTTTCCTGGCAGTATTATTAGCATGGAAGGTTAAATATTGATTTTGTATGAAATTTAAAAGTAAACTGATGTTATAAAGTGCTTGGTTTAATAAAATATCCATATGAAGTACAAATTAACAATTGATTCATAATGTAAACAGTTAATAAGGACTTGTGAAAAATTTTGATCTGAAATCTTCTTTATATCTTTGATGTTGCAGTATTATCATTCTGTTAACCAAGTACCCGACATTTTTTAAGTTACCCTTCTTCGTACTAACTCTACTAGAAGATGAAATAGGGGCTCAAAAATGATACCCAATGATTGCGAATCACTTTTGGTATATTGTACATTTTATGTGTTACAACGATAGGATTTAAATGGCATAACACTCTAGGTATGTTTTATATTTTGTCAACTCAATCCAACCACAAACATTCATTTCTTAATACTTGACCAAACCAGCTACACGAGAGTAAAAGACTGATAATCCGTAGGTAGCTTAGCTTCTGAAGCCTAACTCAAGTCTATGTAACACAGGTATATATGTATATGGTTGTCATCATGAATTGATGATAATACTCATTCATGATTTCACTAGGGATGTTCACTTATGGTTTGTTAAGGAATCTTATGCTAAAATAGGACAGGTGCCCAATGATCCTTAGTTACCTAGTTGGTGTCAAGCATATCAATCTAAATATTAGTTTATTTAACTAATAATAATAATGTGTGTATAAAGTCAATAATGACCTGTATCATGCATTTACTAATGTGACAAATGTTCTACAATCTTCTACGTTAACACCTGACTTTTCTAATGTGTTTGTTTACGTTTATTATACAGTAAACTATTTTTGTTTCAATGCTTTGATGTTATGTATAAGATGACTGTTACACAATACGAAAGAGTCATTCAGCAGTACTACATATCATTGTATCACTTCAATCCATCAACAATTTAGGAAATTAAGGATTATTCAGAACGAACAGTCAATAGGTTGGGTTTTTTTTGCTGTTACCAATTGTACCATACTAGTTTTGTGCTAATCAGTATTAAAATAACTGTCGACAGTTTACAAATGATTGATCATTAATTAGTGACCAATGTTATGTATGTTAAGTTCTTCTTAGTGCAGGTCAAATCCTATCGATCAATTTGCAAATGGCCACTTAGTCTAAGTGACTTGACATATGGGATGCACTATATTGAGATGTAAAATGATAAAGGTAGTCGATAGGAAACTCTGTACCTAAGTTTTGTGCTATTTAGCACTTGTCAGCAGGATGTATTAGTAGTCTTGAAGTAATTGATGCTTCCTGGCGGATTCGTTTCCATGCCACGTTACCACTGAAATATTCGAGCCGCGACTGACCTTCTGTAAGACTGAACTGTATTCACAATTAATAAATCTTTAAGTAGTGATCAATGTTAGGTTTTCAAAGTCCTCAGTCCTCATTGAATTCGATCAATCAAAGAGAAAGGATAAGACTAACTTCATACCTTGCTAACCAGTGTCAAGTAGCGCGAAACCTAGGTCCATAAGTTTCTTTTTGACTACATCCAACCATCACCTTATATGTCAAAAGTATCATTTTACCAATAGATTGTTATGTAAACGATTTCCAGTGGTTTAAAGCACCAGTTTTAAACTATTTAAATAGTATAATTTAAGGTGGTATTACCTACAATTTTTTCGTACTTCTTTTTCTTGTGTTTCATGTCTATTTAGAATTATCTCCATTGTTTATTCCATCGAAGCTTCGTCTAAGCAATACGAAGAAACCTATGTGAGTAAACAACTTTCTAGTATATGAGCGGAGAAATTTCTTCGCTCGATTCGTTTCTTCATTATTTACCAAATGTCAAAATGGAAATTTTCTAGTATTTTTTTAGTAGAGATCTATGTATATGTTCTAAAGTTTAAGTTAACAAATCAACCGGATTTTAGATTTTGTTGTTCTAAGTAATATGTCTCACTAAATGTCTTCAGCACTCTCCGCAACACAGTGAAATTTTTTTCTCAAAAGCTCGGGAAAGAATAATGGTGGTCTTGAGTGCTGTTAGACATATGAGGGCGGCCATCACTTCTCGGATGCCCACATCGTGGAAGGGTTCTTCTGAAGGTACCTGAAAAGGAAATTGAATTATAGGTGGTCTTATTGACCTGAGAGGGTGATCGCAGTGCCCAAGGGACAACTGCTTGAGGTCGGTCAAACACAATTTTTCTGTGAGTAATTTTTGTGTTAGCTCCGTACTTGTTAAGACCTTACCGCCGGAGACGGATATCCGTGGGATAAGGCGAGGTGTGCATTTTAGGGTCGACCTTTTCCAACCCCACCCCTCCTTGTGAAAAGGCATCATCGATGCCATGCTGGTTGTCTGAAGGAAACACCTTACTGCTGTCACACCTCTGTACAGTCAGCAGTATGACTTCGCCTTCAGACCTTGGGTTTGCTGCTTTTAGTCTTACCGCTCTTCAACCGACCTGTCTGATATAGTAGGACCTTGATGAATGATTTTTGTAGCCAATATAGCTCTATTGGTTCACCACGATAGGCAAGCTTGACCACCACGTCAAGATATCAGCAACGGTCGGGGAAAGAATATTAGGAAACAGTAAATTCTAATATCAATCAATGTCAAAAGTATATAACTTCTGTATTACGTCAAACAGAAAACTTTCTTTAATATCAACAAAGCCCAATCAGACTAAGAGAGAATCTATTCCTCTTTATTTCTTTCTATTTTCTATTTATTTATCATTTCAGTTGGGATTGGAAAGAATATGATGGTTATATTGAATTGATTATTAATTATGGAAATAATAAAGTCTTTGATACATTTTGTTATAAATTAGATAAATTACGAGTACTTTGTACATGGACTAAATGTGATCAAAATGATAAACAAATAAATTCCAATGGTGTACTTATGTTACGTACAGTATTAGATAATGAATATCATTGTTTGAAATTAAGTAAGTTATGCTTCTTTTATTTCCAGTTTAATATATTACAGTATTGATTTTCATTGTGAAAAAACCAATTTAATTCTTTGAAAAATCGATTTATTGTTTACAAATCACAGTCATAACGTAGGACCAAGCACATATATGCATCAGTCCAAGTTGTCATACTTTATTAGCGCAACAAGATCAACATCGGATTCATGGAAGTAGTTAAGCCAATGGTGGTAATATATAAAAGGAAGATTGAATATAAGGATAGAATACAGGAAGGAAGAGTTCGATCGTAGAAAGAAAGATACGAAATGATTTTAATCCCTTAGTTTAAGGGAAGACAAAGAGTGTATACACCTACGCTATTGTGATCGATTCTAAGCCATGTCACCAAGAATCTCCGACCATTGGTTACGATAGTCATGCGGACCCCAACCAAGTGGTCTGCATCTACCAACATGGCTCAGGTCAGAATTTAGTCACTTTGTGGTCTGATGTCATGTTTTGGTTCGGCCGCTCCTAACTTTTTTCCAACCGTCCCTAACACCAGTTAGCATTGCGCGTTGCGGTAATCGGTGTTCAGGCGTACACAATCATTGTGGTTTTAACTGAAAATTATCCGAGTATAGTGTATAAGCCATAATTTGTGTTCAACTAGAATCCTAGGAGACACTGGAGGGTTATTTCGTTCTAAATTGAGATTCCTCATCAGTAACAGTATTCACAATCTCGACAGAACTTAAGCATGTGACTTTCAGATGAGTTTACTATTCAGATGTCTTCTTTGTAATTCCTCTTATGATCTGTAAAAGTAGAAGAGATAGGTAGACTGTGAGTTCTTAGTCATAGGTATCTTCGTAGCATCTTCCTCGTATCATGGTGTAATCAAATGAACAATTCCGAGATAAGAATGCCAAATTGATTGATAAAGTAGTTAATCTTTTTGTTAACTAAGGTGATTGGATCATGTGTTACCTATGTCAAAGCACCTTCGACCTCAACGTGCATTGTTTGCTGAAATAAAAATAGGTTTAAAGAAAGCTAAGTGCAGTCAAATCCAAACACATGATCTGTGCATTAGTTTGTCTACTATTGATCGGAAGGGGAAATATATTCCACAATCAGTCAGAAGCATGAGCACTAACGACAGGCACAAATCAAACGTATATATATACAGCATAAAAATGTCCTTGGGAAACGTTAGAAAATAGCATACTAAAAGACACAACGAACCAATAGCGTTTAAAATCCTTCCAAGTGGGAGATACAACATGAAGGTGAAAATGAGTGCTTTTAGCGCGAAAACAAGAAGTTCAAATTTTCAACATAGAATTACAAAAATTAAGCATTTACCAAGTGAGTTTTGGGGATCTAACATCTCCAACAATCTTAAAGAATCATCTCATGTAATCATTAGGAATAGTTGACTATCATTTAATCCGAGTTTTTTTGTATTTTTGTTTGTTCGAAAATTATTGATTTTGCGATTTGTTTTCTTTCCAATTATTATTATTATTATTATTATTATTATTATTATTATTATTATTATTATTATTATTATTATTTATTGAATATACATCTAGGACTATGTGCTCAACTTCGTCCAGATTTGTGTACACTTTGTTTGAATCAATTGGGAATTGGTAATTCGAAGTCATTGTCTTCGCTTTCACCACCATCATCATCATCACTATTAAAACGAATAGGAGAGGGAGGTGGCAGAGAAGGAACAATCCAGTTGAGTATCAATTTAATTAAACTCCTATCTGTTACATCATCATTATCTTCAACATCTTCTTCCTCCTTTCCATCATTGTCAGTACAACCAAATATTGGTAGTATAGAATTAGTTGAAAAATCGACAAATAATTCATTTAGTACAATTGGTGTTGTACTTCGTGATATTTGTATTGGATTAGATGTTGAAAATAGTTCCATTTCTAGTAAGTTTATTATATATATAATTTTCATAAAAACATCAAACTACACTTGGTATTGTTTACTTGAATCTTCCCATTGATGCTTAGGACTGCAATTGATCAGTCTCTTATTGGCATGTGTGCATACTGTGCGTATTGTCTCAATATTGCCTTAAGTAACAAGCACTATAAGCAAAGATGGATAGTGGTTAGCAGTGGAATCCATTTTGACGCGCGCTTTTCGTCCTATTTGGTATTAGACAGCATAAGTAAGTGGTTATCAAGACTCAATAGCTGAGTGGATAGCACAGTGGCATTTGAAGCAAACGGTATTGGGTTCGAGTCCCAGAGTAATGACACATGAACTCTGAGATGCAGGTACATCTAGTTGACGCTCCCTAAATGTGCACATCCTGGTTTCCACTGCTAGTCACTATCTGTCTTTGCTTATTACTTAAATAACATAAATTTACTATAAATAAGTATTTATTGTAAATACTTCAAATCTAGTTAGTAGTTAATGATAGACAGGAAATTATTAGATAATATGTAACACCAAATCATTTTTTCTATCAAACCTCCTTTCCCCTCCTTTTTTTTGTTACTAAGAGAAATAAATACAAAATAATCGTTTTGTCTCATTTATAATCCATGAATGATAGATAATATCTTGTCATTATTGAAAATTTTGTCCGTTTTTCACTTAGTAGACAATGTATATCTTTGCTTCTTTTTTCCTTCTTAAAAAGACAGCCAGTTTTAATGATCTTATCAATTTTATATTTGCCATGGAGATTATCACTATGTCATGTCCTAATTTATTCACTCATTCGTTTTTTTTATGGACGCATATAAATTCACTAGAAACTACCACCTATTTTGAGGGGGGGAGTTTTACAATCTATTTCCAGTCTCTATATGTAGTTATATCGTAATGAATGGAAAAGTTGTATTTCTGACGTTTTGTGGCTTAATATAGGCGACTTCTTCAGAGTAAATAAATAAACGTAATTAAATATTGACACCAGATTAAATAGTACAAAGGAAATAGTGCAAAATATTTTTTTAGTATAATTTTAATAGGCCTGAATTTTTTATTCTTTGTCAAAGTGGACTTGTAAAACCTGTCGCTGTCAGGTGCTTGATTTGTCTGATATCCATGCTGATAGTAGAAAATAATGAAAATATAATACTTCAGTCAATTCGATTCCCTGTGTGAATTTGGTTAGCGTGTGAACTATAATCATTGAGGCAGAATACATGCATAACCTCAGTTATTTCATGATTTCTTAACTGCTTACAGTTGTATTCATAATAAAACATAAAGTCAGTCAGCTACAACGTAGGACCAGGCATGTATATGCATCGGTTCAAGCTGCCATACCTCATTAGCCTAAGATGAACACCAAATTCATAGAAATAGTTGCTTCAATTGTAGTAATATATAAAAGAAATATTGTGTATACAGATTTAATACAATAAGAATTGTGTAGCACTTTATCCATCCATCAAACAAAGGACAAGGTTATTGTACAACAGTTTGCCCTGTTCTACTTTATGGCTGTAAAATATGATCAGTAAGAATACAAGATATTCGTGGGTTACTATTATTAAGTCATATGTGCGTTTAAACAATTGCACGTGTTTTTTCTTTTGGGACAACTGAAAGACACTGAGGTTGGACATACGGTACTAGGTAAGTTGGTTAATGTATGGTTCTCAGATTTGACTAAGACCTTCTTTAATTTTGTATTCAAATATATTTGGTCGTACCCACGGGCGTTCTCGTTCACTACAACTTCATTCTCTTTGACATAAATGTTTAGGAAATTGGCTTACTTTCCAACTATTTCATAGATGACGTGTTCGTTTGTTTCAGCGTATTTGTCGGTGAATTGTTGTGTGTGTAGACATTTTTAATAAATGCAAGTTTTACTATGATGTATGCTACTTATGTCTGTCAACATAAGTAGTATGTAGCACAAGTCGGAAGTTAAAAACCTGGCATCAGAAGGCTATAACCGTCGACTTGAAGAAAATAGAAGTGAATTATGAATTGAAAGAACCATACAGAATATGAAAGATAAATGATGGAAATTTGCAAATGAAGTATTTAATGTATGGTTTTCATATTTTACCAAGATACTCTGTAATTTTGTATTAAAATATACATTGGTTATCCTCACCTGTCAGTCAGTCAATCAGCTACAACGTAGGACCAGGCACATATATGCATCGGTCCAAGTTGCCATACCTCATTAACACAACAAGATGAACATCGGATTCATAAAAGTAGTTAATTCAGAGGTGGTAATATATAAAATTAAGATTACAATAAGGATATAGTACAGAAAGAAAGAATTAGTTCGTTGAAAGAAAGATATGAAGCAATTTTAATCTCTTAGTTTAAGGGAGGACAGAGAGTGTATACACCGACGCCATTGTGATCCTCACCTGTATTCTCATTCAGTACACTAATACTATTCAAAATCAAGAAGCATTAAATTACTATTCTATTCCAGTCTAAAAATTCTTAACAATATACATTGTCACAACTTGTCCATAGGATCGAATTAGTTATTCTTTATTTCAAATAATTAAATCCTCCTTGAAAGAAAAACAAATAAACAATGAAGCAAATATCATTACATGTAAATAAACAAAATCTGAATTAAATTCCTTTGATATTGTTATAAATGAATCTTCCCATGGATGTTTACGACTGCAATTGATCAGTCTCTTATTAGCATGTTGTATATACTGTGCGTATTGTCTCAACATTGTCTTAATTCACAAACATTATAAGCAAAGATGGATAGTGGTTAGCAGTGGAATCTAGTTTAAGGCATGTTTTGTCCTATTTTGGACTCGTCAGCTGGATGTACTTACACCCCAGAATTGATGTTCACTCTTGAACTTGATCCTAGTATCGTTCACAACAAACACCATCACGTTATTCACTTAATTACTGAGTCCTGATAGCTACTTGCTTGTGCAATCGGAAGATTCAAGTAAACAATATTAAGTGAATTTAAATTTCACCCCATTGTACAAGCAAATAACTATCAGGACTCAGTATCTAAGTCAGGCAAATGGTACTGGGTTCGAGTCCCGAAGTGTACATCAACTCTGAGATGTAATCACATCCGTCCGACAAGTCCTAAATAGGAAGAAGTGGCGCCTATCAAACTGTATTCCATTACTAACTATTATTCATCTGTAAAATCTAACTTCAATGATATTTAAACATATTCACATCTCAATAGTTGGAGATCATGAGTCAATTAAAGCTAGACCACCATGAAAAACCTGGAAGCACTGATAGATCCTGGGTTCGAATCCCACGAGGCGAGGTCATGAACCCACACTGCCAATGAGGAGTCCCACAATAGGACGAAACGGCCTTCCAGGTTTTCCATGATGGTCTAGCTTCAATTGACTCATGTTTTCAACTACTGAAATTACTACAATCTCCATACAAAACCCCTTCTAATACATATTCACATCATTTATTCTTTCGTTATTTCTTCTTATTTCTTTCTTATATTTATAGATGAATTATTTTTTGTTTGTTCTATCATTGAATCTTATTGGTTACATAATAATTATCGATTTATACGTATAAATTGGCCAAAATCACAAGTAAATATAAATATACCAATTGGATATCATGTAAATGTTCGTTTAAAAGATTCAGAAAGTGAGTATCCTCCATTAATAATGAATGAATGAATAAATGAATTAGACATTTAATATCTGTAATTAGAATAATAATATTATCATGATTATAGAGTTAAATTCAATTGAAGTTTCAATATTTTATTGGTAGTTTATTCATAATGAAAATAAGGTATAGAAATGAACCAATCAAATTTGAGAAAACTGTTTTTTTGAGTTTTTGCGCAAAATTTAAAGTTGGTTAACTTATCTTTGATCAATGTAAACACAGTTTTGTTTTATGCTTAAAATATTTAAATTTGTTTAAATAAATAAATTTATACACTATACAAATATACTTACTTTACTTTACTTACTCTCAGCGCAGAGTTTAACTGGTTTGAATTATTTATTCTGGTTAACGTTTTTTTAACGAGTTAGTTTTCTATGGAATGGAGTCGCTAACCTCCATGGCCAACCCTCCACCTTTATTCAGGCTTGGGACCGGCGGTAGCCCACGAGGGGCTTCATGCTGTATTCTATATTCTACATAACATATAAAAATCAATCTGATTTTTTTTAAATTTGATTTATTTATAGTACATTATCAATTACATAATTTTTTTAGTGATTCATTGAATGATAGACAAACTGACAACTCCAAACGCCTTGGTATGGCTGGGGGGGTGTAGAGAGTCAGGTCTCCCTTTCGAAATGCTCTCACATGACCACATGCATACAACCACTGCTAAGGGATTCCTGCTCATCGCCTTCTCGTGGCGGGGGTGTTGTTTACGAAATAGAGAGGACGAAAAGCAAATGTCCGGTACTTTAACCAAATTGGTGGACATGGAGAGTCCACCTAGGGGAGTTGAAAACACTTATTCCAACCCAATGGTGCACATGGGTTGGCTCCACTATCCTGAAGGAACAAGTGGCGTATGAACGAATCGTTGGTCACCGACTACCATGGGATTGCATCTTTTTACGTCGCTCTACTGCCTTGTGGGTCAGACCTTCAGGTCGAAGGTTCCAGGTTTGGCCCCTACCAGAACCATCTGCTTCAGTTTGGGCACCCGGACAGTATCACATCCCCCACACATATCAAATGAGATTTGTGTGGCGCATATGTAGGTGGTGCCTCCTTGTACCAATATCTATGTGTTAAATAAATAAATGATAAAGATGGAATTCTACCGATCAAATTGCAAGTGGTCACTACTTTGAGTAACGTGACATGACGTCAACTATGTTAAAATGTAAGGTGTTGGCTACAGGCAGTCAACAGAAAAATCTGAATCCAAGTTTCGTACTATTTGGGACTCGTCCGTAAGATGTACCTGTAATATTTGAGGTAACTAATGCTCCCTGACGGAGTCGATCTCATGTTACAGTCTGAGTTATTACCACTGAGATATCCAAGCTATAACTGGACCTCATGTAAAACTGAAATGTATTTACAATTGGTTATTGGGTAGTGACGGTGTAAAGTATCATCTTTCTTCGTCTCCCTTTTTTCACTATTTATTCATTTCATGTTTTTATTCGTTACACTATTCAGGTAATTACGTAATCAGACCTTATACACCAGTATGCAATGATTTGACTTTTTCATCAATAATCAATACCGATTGTCAACAGGAAGAAAATGTGAATCAATTTTGTTTATTAATTAAAATTTATCCGAATGGTGAATTTTCTAAACTTGTGAATAATATTTCTACAAGTAAGTAGTTACTTATCATTTTTCATATTGCTTATGTTATAGAATATCTTGATGAAATTATCAGTGACTGATGTCTCAATGAACATATACTACTAGCCATGATTATGTTTTCCGCATTGTGATATATACTACTTATGTTAGTAGATATATAAGTAGTATGTTACACTAGCCAAAAATGGAATGCCTAGCAGAAGGAGGTTGAGAAGATCGAATAGAAGAGGACGGGATCAGAAAGCAATTAGTATGGGAATGAAATAACAATAAAGTTCAAGACAATTGATTGACATTTTTCAAATGAAGTATTTGACGTATGATATTTATATCTTATTAAGATAATCTGTAATTTTGTGCCGAAATACATCTGGTTGTCCCCATTTGTGTTCTCGTGCAGTACCTACTTGAGCTTGGAGAACTTTAACTAATTACTTGATTATTGCTTTTTTGTATGAATTAACTGTACTAATTTGAGTTGTCAATGGTATCTCTCGAGTACTGTTAAATGTACAACGGCTACTCTGTCACTAACTGGTTGTCCACTTTATGAAAGCATCCTGCTTCTTGAGGTACATGAAAATAAAATTGATTATCTCGACGCTTGTGTTTAAGACAGATCACACCTAGATTTCGTATGTATAGTTTATCATATGTTAACTCCATTCTTCTCCATCTTCTCCACCACCTCATAACTCCATTCTGATAAACTTGAACGCAAAGGACAAAAATCTATGAGGCAAGTTGAAGTGCAATGCTTTTATGTTAGAAGTTTTCTAATCCCTTCCTTCTGTCTTAGTGAAGGCAGCATCACTGCAGATGCTAGTTGTCTCAAGTAAACAAGGTTCCCACTTTGTTCGATGTAGGTGCTTCCCCTAGTTGGAATGGTTTAATTTTGTAAATGTTTAGCTTTTCGTTCTTTTATTTATTAATTCATTCTTGGAGAAAAAGTTGTGCTCAATGACTTGACTATGATAGAAATTAATGAACTTATCAAACAAAACATTCATACGAGGATATTCATTCACCTGATGAAAACAGTTATAAATTAACAATAAAAAACTACGTACACTATTCCATCAGATCGCACTTTTACACATATTTTGCTTAAAAAAATATCAGTTCAGTAGATGTGATCTGTTTATTTATTTATTTGAACACATAGATATTGGTACAAGGGGGCACCAGATACATATGCACCACACAAATGTAAGGAAAGGCAGTCCCATGATAACCATTGATCAACAAAAGGTTCATACGTCTTTTGTTTCCTTAGGATTCTAAAGCCCCTGTGCACCATTGGTTTGGACCCGCCGTATCCACCAGCTTATTTATTTATTATGAATCAATTAGATGTAATTCTATAATAGTGAAATTTTCAATAGTTTTCCTACTATTTAAACTGCCGCCAAATGCCCTCATACGGCTGAGGGTCCGGAGATTTAGCTCTCTCTCTCTCTCTCTCTCTCGGAATGCTCTTACATGGCCACATGCATACATCCACTACCAGAGAAGTCCTACTCACTGCAGTGGGGGTATTGTTTATGAAATTGAGATGACAAAAACCGAATATCCGTAGGTTTAACCGAGTTGATGGATATAGAGGACCCACCTAGGGGAGTTGGAAAACCCTGATTCCAAACCAATGGTGTACATAGGCTCCATATCCTTAAGGAACAAATAACGTATGAACCCACTGTTAGTCACCTGTTACCATGGGACTGCATCTCCTGACGTTGCTCAAAGGTCTTGTGGATCAGACCTTTAAGTCGAAAGCTCCGATTGTGACCCACTAAGAAAACGACCTGCTTCGGTCTGAGCACCCGCGTACTGTCACATTCCTCACACAAACGAAGTGACTTGTATGGCGCATATAAATTAAAGAAATCTAAACTATTTATCTATTTTGTTGTTTAAACTAAACTGTCCTATTGTTCAATCTTTCACAGATGATACTATTGAAATCAGTCTACCAATAGGTAATTTCAATAGTAATCTAATCAAACAACTCATTCATAATAATAATGAATCAAAATTGACCTATCTTATTATGTTAGCCGGAGGTAGTGGAATAACACCTATGCTACGAATAATTCATTATTTATTTACTGATAATCATCATTATGATCATCAAAATTTACAAACATTTAAAATACATTTAATTCATTTTAATCGTTGTCAAATGGATCAAATATTAATTTCATATTTTGAATCATTACATAATCATTTCCCAAATAAGTAAGTTGAAATATTTTTGTTTGTTTTTTATCTTTGCTTAGCAACTAATTCCTTCTTTTTTTTTCTTCTTTTCAATACTCAGATTTATACAATCAGAACTTTGCTATTGATTAGTTCGATCAAACCTAGTGTCAATGATTAGTTATTGTTGTTAAAGGTTATCGTGTTAATTATCGATTATCAATTGCTTATATTGTGGAATAACAGTTCTGAAAAGGAAATTGATAAGTCTTGCTAATTGAACGCTATATTAGGTTCCTAAGTTGCTATTCTCGTAACCCTCAAGCTAGAACTACACAGCGACTTGAACACGAAAGAAAAGGCACAAAATATTCGAGAAGCACTTTAATTCAAATATTCGTTTTAGTATAGAAAATATAGGGTTGTCATAGTATTTTAGATGTCCTTGGGTTTCCTGAAAATTCTGGAATGCTGCTAAACATAGTACTAGTATAGTAATCAGATAATCAGAAACTCTACATGTGACTTTTCACTTTCTTGATGTTTCTGGCTAAACTTCAAGTGAACGCTGATTGAATCAAATGCTTCTTGGTGTTTTTCTAATCCTTTCTTGTCTTTTGTGAGAAGTTTTCTGGATCACCACAATAGAAATTGGGTTAATAGTTTTAGTTTTGAACATCTAAGAACATGACCTAAGACTTAGTAAGCCCCCACGTGCCCTGGTATGGCGGGGGGCGGGGAAAGTCATCTCTCCTCGAAACGCTCTCACATGGCCACATGTATACAACCACTGTCAGGGAAGTCCTATTCACTTCTCTGATTCCAAGCCAATAGTGCCCATGGGCTCCAGTATCCTGAGGGGAAAAATAGCGTATGAACTTATTGTTGAACACCGGCTACCACGGGACTTCATCTGCTGGTGTTGCTCTACTGCCTTGTGGATTAAACCTTTAGGTCAAAGGTTTTGGGTGTGACCCCCTGACAAAACCACCTGTTTCGGTTTGTGGACCCGGAAAGAATCCTAGCCGTCACATAAATCATTCGATTTGTGTGGCGGATGTCTATTCGATGCCTCCTTCTATCGAAGTTTATGTGTTTAAATAAATAAATAATTACAACAACTTAAGAAAGTAGATCACTTTGTTTTGTTTTTTATTTATAGATTTTCCATTACTCACGTTCTATCTGAACCATTATGCATTACTGGCGGTGATAATAATAACCATTGGTTATATGGACATATAACCGATGAATTATGTCGTCAATGTTTTGATCAAGAAATTATTGATAATTTTGAATCACAGACAATTTGTTTAATATGTGGTCCATCTGGTTTTAATGATGCAGCTTTAAAGTGAGTACTATTTCAATGAATATAACATTCGATAGATAACATGAACATTTCAAGGATTTTGTATTATTCTAAATTGTTTTCATCAATACTAGAGAACTATTCTATATTATTTATTTATTTTAATACATAGATATTGGTACAAGGAGGTACCAAATACATATGCACCACAAAAATCTCTTTTGACTTGTGGGAGAGCTGTGATACTACCCGGTTGCTCAAACCGAAGCAGGTCGTTTTCTTAGGAGGCTACACTCCGAGCATTCGACCTAAAGGTCTAATCCACAAGACAGTGGAGCAACGTTAGGAGATGAAGTTCTATGGTAGTCGGCGGCCAACAATAGGTTAATATGCCGCTTGTTCCTTCAGGATCCTGGAGCCCATTTACACCATTGGTTTGAAATCAGGGTTTTCCAACTCTCCTAGGTGGACTCTCCATGTCCACTAACTCGGCTAAGACGCCGGACATTTGCTTTTTGTCCTCTCGATTTCTTAAACAACACCCTAACCGCGAGAGGGTAGTCAATAGAACTTCCCTGCCAGTGGTTATATGCACGTGGCCACTTAAGAGCGTTTCGAGAGAAAGAGCTGACCCTCCTTACTCTAGGCTGAACCAGGGCATTTAAGGGCGATTCAGGTAACACTGTTCTTTTTTTGTGTGGAAGCGTTTACAAATTTACAAATATTGGTTTAGACAATTTAAGCGGTAATACATTGTTATGAACTCTTTTATTACGACCCAGCAACTTTTATTGCTTAGTATTCTTTGAACACCTAACTTCACTCGACCAGTCCCCAAACTGAACACGGTTGAACGGAAACTTAATTAAATTTCAAGTAAACAAGGTTGAATGGGAGTAATAATCTTAATAAGAAAGACGTTAGCATATTTATAATTTTACACAATATGATTCTAGAGTCTTTTTTGAGAACTTGCTAGCGCTAATTGGTTAGTAAATGGACAATTAGTGTGTTCCAACATATTCCTACACGAAACAAATTCTAATATAATCTATATCCCGCTAACATATATCCAGTTGACGAATCTCAAGCGAGACAAAAAACGTCCTGAATTCTACTCTTAGACACAACCCATCGATTTTAAATAGTATTGAGGCGATCTGCACAGTCTGTATATATTTCAATAAAAGAGTAAAACTTTTTGTCTTGTATGTCAGCCACAAGGAAATTCATATCCTTACTGATAACGTCAGTGATTTTGTTCATTATTAAATCAACTCATCCAGAGAACACATATCATCTTGTTGTGCTAATGTAGTATGACAACTTGGACCGATGCATATGTGTCCCTGGTCCTATGTTGTAGCTGACTGACTGACACATGTTAACAAAAATCATTCATCTATACTACAAGCTTTTTTTATGAGGGGGGGGAATATGTAGACTCCTGTGATAAAATTTGCAAATGTCTCATTTTCTGTTTCAAATCTTTTCACTTCAATAACTTTGAACTTGCTTCTTGGCGATTCATAGTAGTATGCCTTAATCGCTTGTCTAGAATACGATAATAATAAAAAGATCTTTAAACCGGGTGATAAACAGCTTATTATTCATTTCAAGATGGTTTTATATTTGAATAGATTTTGTCAAGCATTTAGATGTTCTTTTTAGTTTTGTAAAATGACAGAAAAAAGAACATAACTGCAAACAATGAAGATGTCAGTCCAATTTTGTAGTGCCTCCAGTGTTGATCCTTTGTTAGGCAACACGAAATACTTGTTAAAGAATTCTATTCTTCTCGAAGTCATTTTAGTATTGTGTTGTATTATCGATTTATTAGAGTTTTATCAGTCAGTTATCTACAACTTAGGAACATGCACATATGTGCATCGGTTCAAGTTGCCATACCTCATTAGTACAACAGATTGAACACCAGGTTCATAGTTCGTAGAAAGAATCGATTTTAATTTCATAGTTTAAAGGAAGACAAAGAGTGTATACACTGATACCATTGTGTTAACTTTGTTTTTTTTGGCTTTCGTATTTATCTATTATATCAATGTTTTCGACTGTGAATAGTGAGGTTTTGTATGGCGAAATTCTACACTTACTTGCGTAGAAAAAAAAAGAATAAACAGTTTCAATTTACCGTCAACCACGTAATTAGTGGACGAAAAATGTTTCCATTTAAGCGATGCTACTGATATTCAGCAATAGTGATATATACTATGTAAAAGCTACAAGGAACAATATGCTTTTCTAGTTATTGCAGACATTGAATTCAACATAACCCCAATATTTTTAAAAACGAAATTCTGTCAAAATGTATGATTTTAACAACAGAATGTATATTTGTTGTCGCTAGTCGACCTATGGTTTACACATTCATATATAAAATAGAATTTGATATATATATATATATATATATATATATATATATATATATATATATATTTGCATCAGTTTAAGTTGCCACACAACATTAACAGTGATATACAAACATCATGATACATCTCAGATTTTTAGAAGTATCAGTAGTAATAGGAAAGATTAGGTAGTAAAGGAAAAAATCAAATCGAGATTCGAAGATTCAGGATCTAAAGGAGTGAATGAATATGTGCCATTGGAAACTATTTTGAGATGTATCACTCAGTCTCTAACGATTAGTTGTGATAATAACATGGACTCCAACCAGACAGTCTAGACCTATTATTACGGCTCAGTCCAATTGTTAATGACCTCGTCGGCTGGTAGCGCGTCCCTTTCTTCTACTGCACTCCTACGCGAGATAACGTTCGTCAAAGTAGGCGGTGGTTGGACAGACACAATACATGTCTCAACCACTTCAGATCGTGAAAAATCACAATCTCATCAGCCAGTTTCCAAGTTATACTTAGTACTCCGCCCCTAACCTAAACATTGCTCACTTAATGATCCCTAAAAGTGCGGATGATGCGGAGGTATTCGCGATTGACCTACTAATATCCACTATTCCTAATGGTCATACTTCAAACCCATAAAGTAGGATAAAACTTATGCATAGTAAATCCATCGTTTGATTAGTGGATAGCCATCTCATCTACGTCACTATACATATATAATCGAATTCGGACACCACTGAATAACAAAATACTCATAGAATATACTTTTGTTTTCTCATTATATTAAAAAATTCAGATTTTGCTGTCTTATTCCTCTTCCAATAGTTGAAATCATAAGTCGATTGAAGCTAGACCACCATGGAACGCCTGGACGGTCGTTTCGTCCTATCATGGGGCTCCTCGGCAGTGCGCATCCCCGATCCCACCCCCCGCGAGATTCGAATCCAAGACCTATCAGTCTCGCGCTCGGGCGCTTAACCACTGAGCCGGCATCCAACGGTGTTAATGTCTAACTTCAACTAATCCACGAAATTGCGCCACCGTATACCACTCTCTTCAGTGAGCTAATATCTCACAACAGATCTGGTTTGGGGTTCGAATCTCGCGGAGGCGGTATCGTGGATGTGCACTACTGAGTCTCATATTAGGACGAAACGGTCGTCCAGTGCTTCCAGAGTTATCTAACTTCAATTGACTCATGATTTCAATTATTGAAATTACTAAACTCTCCCCAAAACCCCTTTTGATAATAATTCCTCTTTGTTTAAATTCATTTTAGACTAACAAATCAATGGTCTATTCCTAAAGAACGTGTACATGTCTTTAAAGGATGAAAACACAAGATGTTGTATTATCATAGTAATAGTTCACATACACATACAAACTATGTAGTTTATACAAATCCAATAACTTTCCTTTACTCTAGTCTCTTTATTTTTTTTAATTTTTCAAATTATTTTATGGCAAATTCCTATTTCGTTTGCTTTCAATGACAATATGTGTATTATTTTTATTTGAATTGTGAAATTGTATCTCACATAGTAACTAATTTATGTCACCATGATGATGTAATCATATTTTGTATCACATGTATATATCAATAATTATGTAGACATATTTAATCAAACGGTTTCCATTTGTTTATCTTCTTTTTTGCTCATTCTTTCATAACATATTTCTCATTAACATGTATATTACTACTGGGATATTAATAATTTTGTAAACACAATCTTCAACTATTCATTACCTAAATAACTATAATTGTATCATGAACGAGAATCATATAGTAAATACTTCATTTGTAAAATATCCATCAATTGTTTCATACTTGTTGTTTACTTCTTTTCAACATTCCACTTTCGATTAGTGACATATACTACTTATATCTATCGACATCAATAGCACATATCACAGTTGTGGCTTGTTATTATTGTGGATTTAGATTAGTTTTTTTTCAGCTCAAATAAGACGGAAAGAAAAACGTCATGAATCTCATTCTTCTACATTATTCTCAATGATTCTATTTGTTTTCAAATGATTGATAGACAGAATCTCCTTTTTGTGTTCATCTCTTAATGATTTCTTTCGGTTTGTATTGTACACACAAAAAAATAAACAAAGAAAAGTATTTCCCATTAGGTGTATTCATTTTTTTCCTATTGAAGCTTTTGATCGCACTAATAATTAATACGTAGAACTCTGGTGATTAAAAAGCACAAGACTATCTGTAAATATAATGGTGTTATCAATAAAATCTATGAAATGCATTACAAATATCAATTCGTAAGGCATCCATAGGAACTATCGTGTTCGTACAATTAAGGAGGGATACTTCCAAAAATGGACATATATATTATATATATAGCTTTTTTATAACGACATATAATAAGCAATTGGCAGTTCATAACCGTGTCAAAACTAAAATTGTTACAATTTCTTTTATTACGATTCAGCTATTTCTATTGCTTAACGCCGCCTGGAGTCCCTCCGGGGGCTACTGCCGGTCCCAAGCTTGGATAAAGGAGGAGGGTTGGGCATGGGATTAGCGTTCCCATCCCGTAGAAAACTAACTCACCAAAAAAACGCTAACCAGGAAAAATTATTCAAACCTTTTAACCTCTGCCTTGGGAGTCAGGTCTTCATTTAGAAGAACTATGACGCCTCATGATGAAAGCCGAATTCCTTCGGAAGTTACGAGGCCGATTCCCCTTCTGACAACCAGAGCGATCATTTATTTAGGTGCATGGAATGTTCGTACAATGTGGGACACCGGGAGAGCCAAATTGCTGCAGAAATGAGAAGATACAACCTAGAGGTACTTGGGATCAATGAAACACATTGGACGCAAGTTGGACAACAACGACTAACTTCGGGAGAGCTTCTGTTATACTCCGGCCATGAAGAAGAAAATGCCCCACATACACAAGGAGTTGCATTGATGCTGTCCAAACAAGCGGAAAATGCGCTTATACGATGGGAATCTCATGGACCAAGGATCATCAAAGCCTCGTTCAAAACAAAAAAGGAGGGCATTACAATGAATATTATCCAATGCAATACGCCTACCAACGATTACAATGAAGACGCTAAAGATCAATTCTACAATAGGCTGCAGTCAATCGTCGAGAAGTGCCAAACAAAGGACCTGACTATTCTGATGGGAGATTTCAACGTCAAGGTTGGAACGGACAACACTGGATATGAAGACATCATGGGACGACATGGACTGGGAGAAAGAAACGAAAATGGTGAGAGATTTGCAAACCTATGTGCCTTCAATAAAGTGGTCATAGGTGGCACCATATTCCCACATAAACGCATTCACAAAACCACATGGACTTCACCGGATCACACCACGCAAAACCAAATCGACCATATTTGCATCAACAAAACGTTCAGGAGGACTATAGAGGACGTGAAAACCAAGAGGGGAGCTGATATAGCATCAGATCATCACTTGCTGGTCGCCAAGATGAAATTGAAACTCAAGAAGCACTGGACAATGGGGCGGACAATATCACAAAAGTTCAATACGGCCTTTCTTCAGGATACTAACAAACTCAACAAATTCAAGATAGTCCTCAGCAACAAGTTCCAGGCCTTTCATGATCTACTCAATGGAGAAGGAACTACTGTGCAGAGCAACTGGAAGGGGATCAAAGAGGCAATCACTTCAACATGTTATGAGGTCCTGGGTCACAAGAAGCACCATCACAAGGAATGGATCACTGTTTATACACTGGATAAGATTCAAGGAACAAGAAGGCAGCAATCAATACCAGTCGAACAAGAGCAGAAAAAGTCAAAGCACAAGCTGAATACACAGAAGTAAACAAACAAGTGAAGAGGAGTATCAAAATCGACAAACGTAAATATGTGGAAGATTTAGCAACGACGGCGGAAAAGGCTGCAAGAGAAGGGAACATGAGACAACTGTATGACACGACAAAGAAACTCTCTGGAAATCGCCGCAAACCAGAACGACCAGTGAAAAGCAAGGAAAGCGAGGTAATCACCAACATTGAAGAGCAACAAAACAGGTGGGTAGAACACTTCAAAGAACTCTTGAATCGACCAGCTCCACTGAACCCACCCAACATCGAAGCAGCACCCACGGACCTCCCAATCAACGTTGGCCCACCAATAATTGAAGAAATCAGCATGGCCATCAGACAAATCAAGAGTGGCAAAGCAGCAGGACCGGACAACATTCCAGCAGAGGCACTAAAAGCAGACGTGGCGGCAACTGCAAGGATACTCCACATTCTCTTCAATAAGATTTGGGATGAGGAACAAGTACCAAAAGACTGGAAAGAAGGACTCCTGATCAAAATATCGAAGAAAGGCGATCTCAGCAAGTGTGATAACTACAGGGGCATCACTCTTCTCTCAATACCAAGAAAAGTCTTCAACAGAGTATTGTTAAACAGGATGAAGGACTGCGTAGACGCCCAACTTCGTGACCAACAGGCAGGATTCCGTAAGGATCGATCGTGTACAGACCAAATCGCAACTCTACGGATCATTGTGGAACAATCAATTGAATGGAATTCATCACTCTACATCAACTTCATTGACTACGAAAAGGCATTTGATAGCGTGGACAGGACAACACTATGGAAGCTTCTTCGACACTACGGCGTGCCTCAAAAGATAGTCAATATCATACAGAGTTCATATTATGGATTATACTGCAAAATCGTGCATGGAGGACAGTTGACAAAGTCGTTCGAAGTGAAGACCGGTGTTAGGCAAGGTTGCTTACTCTCACCCTTTCTCTTTCTCCTGGTGATCGACTGGATCATGAAGACGTCAACATCTGAAAGGAAGCACGGGATACAATGGACATCTAGGATGCAGTTGGACGATCTGGACTTCGCAGATGATCTGGCCCTTCTATCCCAAACGCAACAATAAATGCAGGAGAAGACGAACAGTGTAGCAGCAGCCTCAGCAGCAGTAGGTCTCAATATACACAAAGGGAAGAGCAAGATCCTCCGATACAACACAGCATGCACCGATCCAATCACAGTTGACGGAGAAGATTTGGAAGATGTAAAAACCTTTACATATTTGGGCAGCATCATTGATGAACACGGTGGATCTGATGCATATGTGAAGGCGCGGATCGGCAAAGCAAGAGCAGCATATTTACAACTGAGGAACATCTGGAACTCAAAGCAACTGTCAACCAACACCAAGGTCAGGATTTTCAATACAAATGTCAAGACAGTTCTACTGTATGGGGCGGAAACCTGGAGAACTACAAAAGCCATCATCCAGAAGATACAGGTGTTTATTAACAGTTGTCTACGCAAAATACTTCAGATCCGTTGACCGGACACTATTAGCAACAACGTACTGTGGGAGAGAACAAACCAGATCCCAGCGGAGGAAGAAATGAGAAAGAAGTGCTGGAAGTGGATAGGACATACATTGAGGAAAGCACCCAACTGCGTCACAAGACAAGCCCTCACATGGAATCCTCAAGGTCAAAGGAAAAGAGGAAGACCAAAGAACACATTACGCCGAGAAATGGAAATAGACATGAAAAAGATGAACAAGAATTGGATGGAATTAGAAAAGGAGGCCCAGGACAGAGTGGGTTGGAGAATGCTGGTCGGCGGCCTATGCTCCATTGTGAGTAACAGGCGTAAGTATTTCTATTGCTTAGTATTCTTGGACAATATTTCATTCGACAAGTACCCAAATCAGAACAAGGTTGTTGAACGCAAACGAAATTATATTCTAAATAACAAGGTTAGATGGAAGTAGGAAGTATAATTAGAAAAATTTTAGTATATTTATAGTTTTTACATGAGATTCTAGAGTCTTCTCTAAGTACTCACTAGCGCTGATTGGTTAAGTAGTGTTAGGTCCCGATAAACATAATGATTGGTAACTTTCGGGATCCATTTATGGACCGGTACTATGCGTATATTTTTATTGTATAATTGTTAAGTGACTAAACTGCTCATATTCATGTCTCTTTTATTATGAGCTTCATTTTGATTCATAAACTATTATTATACGATTTACCATTCTTGAATTATGCCCTGTCTATTAATTACTACCTCCCACATTCACAGGCACATTTGGCTAAATCTTGTACAAATGTTGTTTCCTATTTTATGGTACGATGTGGTCTATTTGGTTGGTATATAAACTCAGTATGTTTGAAATATAATGATTCATATCGCAGAGGCTCGGATTGGTGTTCTAGACTTAATTGGCTGGGCTAAGCAGAAAGCAGGACTCTAGGCTGCTCGCATGTGTTTTACGCGTCCTTGGTCCGATCGGTATTTCGCTGCTTCTGATTGGCGGTTTTGGGCGA